GGTAGGGGCGCGGGGCGGTGGAGGCACCCCCCGGGCTTCGGGCGGGGGTTTCGGAGGCAGCGTCTCAAAGTTTTGGCCTCTGCAACATCCCCTGGCAACAAACTCCCTGAGGCGCGTCAAGATAAAGAGCCCTTATCGTTGCATCCAAGCTTCGGCGTGTTGCAGGTGCTATTGATGGTGCATTTAAGACCCCTCCTTCCTCCCCTTCCTTTTCTCGCTCTCGCAGACCTCCTTCCACGTCACCTCGCACGCGTTTTCAAATGCTCTGGCCCAGTGTGGCATGTACAGGGATAACGGGCTCAACACCTCCCTGGAGAAGAGCCACGTCACCGGCCCAGACAACTTCATCACCGCCTACGACCACCTCAACTTCCATCCCAGCTACAACCCAAGCGGCCCGTCGCACTGTTAGATCTGCAGCAGTAACGACGACAATGTGAAGCCACTTCAGTTTACTGCTGGCTGCCTAGATAAAAAAAACCCCAAAACAACAAAAAAAAAAACCACGAGCAAGCAAACAACAGCACTGACCTTATCCTAAATACGTTGCTAAGCCTCATCTGAAAGCATGACAGGAGGCACTACACCATTGCACTGTAGCTGCCGCACGAGGCGACAGGCTATTTCACCCAGAGTAAGGCAGGTTTCTATTACGGTCGCGCCCTGTGCCATCAGGCTGGGACGAGGCACCCTTGCCAGAGCCCTCGGCTTCAGGTTACCTCTCCTGAGCGCAGACTTGGGATGTCGCAGTTGTTACCCCTGAGGAGAGTAAAACTGCAGAGACGGTCAGGAAAATAATTCGTACGGCGCACTAAGCAGCAGCAGATTAACATGCGTGCTTCACGCTGTTAACCACGTAAGTCAGGATTTAATGAGAATTTTTCTCCTGAACACGGGGCGGGGGGGATCTTTCAGCTTGGTAACGTAAGGCTTGCTATTACAATGTGATGAATAGCTACAACATTAGCAGGTTAAAGGTAGCAGTACATTTCTAAAAACACCCCCCCCGACCCAAAGTGTTGTATGTATTTTTAGTTGTTTTTTTTTTTTTTTTAACAGGACTCCTACCTAGTTAAGGTCACAAATTTAGCTTTGGGGGCGAAGCGGTTTAAATCTGTGTTATCAAACCCAAGTTCAGTAATTTGTTGGGAAAAACACATACAGCCACTTCGGTACTAGATGAAAATAACTAATTTACAGAATGAATGCTATTAGGAATAATAATTTATAAAGATTTAATGTGATTAAATGTCAGTTAAATAGCTCATAGGAACCATTTTACTTAATTTATAGGCAGCATATGGTTGTAATCCTAGAACAATATACATTACAAATATATATATTCCCTTAACCTTTTCTCTGTCACTAACGATCCTTTAAACTCTTGGCTCATGTACCACGTATCATTAAAAATTACGATCTTTAAACTGTTTCTGTACTATTTAATGAATAACCAAACTGCATGTTTTCCAGGGGTATTCATTAAGCCTTTGGATTTCTCGTAGAAAGCATGTCCATCTTTCTTACCTCTCAAAACTACAATGTTTTAAGAAATTATTCAAATAAAGACAACTAATCAAAAAGAAAATGTTTTCTTGAGTTTTATTGTACCAACTGTAGTTACACAGCCAGTGAAACTGCATCATTTAGACAGCAACTGCACTAAAAAGGAACACCTTAGCACGTTTGGCTTAAAAACTAGTCTTGAAGAGAAACTAGTCTGCCTGTTCACGGATGAGAAACAGTCCTACTTTAGAGGTACAACATACTGATAGTATATATTAAAAATGAGCATAATACTTTTCTAGCTGTTTGCTAAAAAAATAAAAATGAGTGTAATCGTATGTCCAAGGACCACTGCAAATGATATTCTTCACATTAGAAATATTCCCTATTTGTGTCATTTTTATATAGTCTTATAAACTGCACAGGAAGCATGACGATGATATATTTAAACATACTAGCAAGGTAGAGGTATTCTGTTCCATTAATATCACTAAGCAAAAATCTGAAGTCCAAAAGTGAACAGTGTGTCAGGCCTGTACTTGTGCCTTTTTTTTTTTTTTTTTTAAACACTCAAACCCGAGTGTAGCTACACGTTCCTGGACCCACCAGCAAGATTTCAATCACGCCTACCAAACAATTCCAGTTTTCACTCCTGTGCTTTTGGTTATCTCAAACAGAAGAACAGCCGGCTAAATTCACCTTTGCTGAAAACACACCAACGCGCTGGAACAAGTAAATATACTAAGCAGAAACGGGTCTGAAAAGTTAACTGTTCAAATATTTAACGTATGAAAATAAATAAGCAACCCTCTGCCATTCCCTGCTATTCTTCTATTAGACTCTAGACAATACCTTGAGCTTCTCATAACTTCCCTTTCTTCTCCTGAAATGAAAAATAACATAAAGCGCTGAATTAGTACACACAGTTGTGACAATTTTACATGTATTTTTATCCACAGATTATTCTGCCGGTGGAATAATTTAGGGATAAGACTGCCTCTGAAAGTATAAATTTAGTGGCTTTTGTCACATATTTTCCACCTGTTTTCATACTTCATCTAAAAACACCCACCTCTTTTCTTCCTTGCCTCAATTTCTTCCCTTTTTGTTTTATTCTTGAACCAAAACCAGTTCCTCTGCACGGTTTTGCAGGCGGTGTACCTTATGTCACCCTCATACAGACTGTATCCTGAGATACCTTGGGGTAAGGTTATCCAATTCGCCTCCTCTGGGGTCCGCTGAGAAGGGAGCGACACGCAAGCTTCGCTTGCAGCCAGCCCCAGGAGACGTGCCTCTACACGTCGATCTGCTCAAGACTACAGAGGTTTGCAGTTCCTCCTCATCTCTTCTGCATACTCTATTTCTCTGAAGCGTCCTGTGTCCTCCTGTCAGGTTGTTTACCTTACTTAGGTCAAAGACATATTTTCCTTGCGTTTACTTTCCTACATTTCCCTATTTTAGTGGGCTTAAGAAATACTGACCTCTTTCTTCAGGTGTTAGAGACGCAATACACTTAATTTTTAAGAAATACCTGTACAAATTCAAAATATCATCCTAAAGATGACACATTTTACTGCAGAGAATCTACCCGAAACAGTCTCTTTCTACTCTGTATTTTGAAAGCAAGATTTTCACATTTGCAGATAAAATTCTGTAAGGCTGCACTATCAAACCAAGACAAATTGCAGTTCTTAAAGGTTTGAAAAATTAAAAGCACATACATTAATAAAGAAAACAGCAGCAGAGATGGTGTGTTCCTTCCTTGTATAAAAAGCAGCTACATGTCAAAACATGTTCCTAAAATAGCAGCAAAGAACTGTTTATTAAAAAATTAAGGTAGTCCTTGTGGTTTCCTGAGGATCCTTGAAGATTGCCCTTCCTGAAGCACAGAAAAATAGTCACCGTGATAAAAATAAAACAATATACCTATTTTCAAAGTCCTGAGCGAGCACAGATTCATCTGAGAACTCTGGTATTGCAGTCAGGATGCTGTAACTGACCAGCAGCCATAATAAAATATACCGAGTCGTTTAATAACATCCAAATTAGCAAGTTTTGTGCTCTGACTGAAAAAAAAATAATAAAACAATCATTGTGCATTTTTTAAAAAGCGTGTCCATCCCATCTCCACACCATCAAGGGCTCCTAGACGCACTGCCGCCAGCCTTCGATAGCGGGGCAGAAAGGATCGCGTGCTAATTAATCCTGGATGCTGCAGAAGCTGTGCTACAGAGGATGCCGTTTAGAGATACACCGCGTGCTCTCCGACTGAATGACGGATGTCCCCTGCCGAACTCTGCCTCAAAACCAAGGAACCCCTTTTGCTAACCCTTGTGCTACTAATGGAGAGGGGCAAGCGCAAGGGAAGACTCCACCTCTTGGCCACAAATGCCAGGAAAGAAAACTGCTGTTAGGGTTTTGCTAAAACTGCAAAACCCCCCTCTCACCTCCCAGAATACCCGCCACTTTTTTTGCCTATGCACTTTGTAGATTCTCCTTCTTCATTTTTTGTTATTAAGAACAATATTCCCTTAAACGGACACATCTTTACAGATCTGGATTCTGTTTCACAGTCACAAGGAAATCGCACGCTACTGTCACACAGGGGACTACAGTCTCAGACAGCGGGCGGCTGAAGACAATAGGAGGCAAGAAGCAAGAGCAGCAGATGGACCGAGATCCTGTTCCCAGGTTCGGCTAACACAAACGCTGTGATCGTCTTCGAGGGGGACATCCTTTACTCACAAACGTTACTGGCACAACGTTCCGACTACAGCCAGGAGAGGAAAAAAAAAGGTAACACAAAAATACTACTCACTAAAGACGACGACACAACTCATAGGAGCACTCTGGTTTCACGGTCCATGGTCAGAACCCCATTTATTAAACATTATAAACTTATCAATGTACACCATTTCCTATATACAAATCAAGTTTATCAATTTAAAAAAAGTGCCGTTTGAAATTAGGTTTTATTTAAAGCACAAGGTAATCGGAATTGCATCTTAACTGAAAGTGAATCAGTTCACGAGTAGTATTGAGAACACAGACACACTGACAGGGGCACGAGACACCTTTTAAGTCTTAATGTCGATTTACTGAAAACTTTGAGGAGAAACATTCAGCTTATATTATACAAACAGTACATAGTGCTTCCATCATCTCTATTAAAATTAAGTATACAGTTTAATCCTTTTAAAGCAAGGTACTCCGAAAACTTCTATTTTAAAATACCAGCCTATTTAGCTATTCCAAACAAAAGGCCCATATCCTGCAACTGAATCAAGGCAGACAAAAATATATGCCTGTGTAGACGGACTGCAGGCACGAGAGCTAAGTAAAAAACACTTTTCCAAGGAATCCTACCACAAAAATGAGATGATCTAGCATACTGACCTTTTAAACGAGCCAACCAACCAACCCAAGGACTATAAAAAGGTGGCCGGATGGTAAGAAATGTCAAGTGACCACTATGAACATGTTTAAAACGTAACTGCACAACAGTATAAACACACAAAGGATGTTGTTTATTTCTCTACATGCCACAGTTACTTGTTCTACTCTAAGCTACGCCATAGTTTGCCAATATTCTGCAAATGCGATCACACCGGGGATACCATGCAATACTGGATCCACTCTTGACTGCTTTTGCTCCGTTTTGCAACATTAAGGCCAGCCTCCAGGAAGACTGCTGAAGTGACTGAGAAAAAGTGATACTGAGTGGTAGTTTGGCTGAGAGAAGTTCTGTAGAAGACTAAAGAGAACATCGGATCAATTCACAGGGACAAGATGTAAGAACAAACTACTCAAAGGACTTCACTACACACAAATGAAGAGGAGAGAACCAGCCAACAGCTTAAATTCACAGTTTTTTGATTTTTCAGTGAAACCACCGCAGGGGGAATTTTTTGTGATATGAACACGCTACTTCAATCCCATTTAACGTTAGTACAAAAAAAAAAAAAAGATAGTAG